ATAGCTGCCTTTGACATTGTCAGACAATTTATTTCCTTCTGTCAAAAATCTAATTGTTTGAATTTCAGATAATATAAATATTGCTGTTAAAAATTTATAAATTGTATTTATAAAAATATATATTTCGTATTTTAGTAATATCTAATAGTTGATATTAATAATATACAATAACATGACCGAAAAAAACGGCGCAAAGTTGGCTTGGAAATGACGACCGCATACCGAATTTTTAACAAAATGTCGCAATATGACATGCCCAGATATATTGTTTTACATCGCTTGACATATCAATTCATAGTCTACTGGTTAAAACTCAGAAATATATACGCTTTAAAACTAAATCTATTTTAGGTATGAGAACATCTATAATCAAAAAGTAACGAATTAAAAAACATTTTCACTAGTGAAATAAAAAAAGTAGGTTTCCATTTGAAAAAAAAATGACATGATAATTATTAATCTCTCAATTCCATGACAGCTACGAGAAATATTAAATGACATCGAAACAATTTATTTTTTGGAATAGATATCCACATGTCTTCTCTTTATGTCAGAGTGGCAGTGGTGATTAGCGATGGGAAGTTCCCATTGGGAACTATCGAATGAATTAAACTATCGAATGGTTAATGAATGAATGATTTCAACTATCGAATGGTTTTATTCGAATAAAATAATTCATTCATTTGTATACGAAAGCATATGTGACAACCTCGCCGTGCGACTAAATGGTTATCGTTGAGCCACGACTATCGAATGCTTTTGATAAATGAAATTTAGTATTCGTTTGATTTTTGTATGCGTCAGTGCATTATTAGTTCTTCCAAATTTTTATAACTTCGCCGTATAAATACTGTGCTATTTTTGCCTTTATTAAAATAGTTAAAATACTAAAATAGTAGTTATGTTTTAATTTTATTTATTGACGATTGTGTGCATGTGCAGGTGGTCAAAATTTTTCCGAAAATTTGTGTGGTTTTCCGTAGTCCGATCTTTCAATTATTTAATTTTATATGGTATATGGTCTATTTTTTAATGGGAAATTTTGAGAAGTAGCAATTTTTAAGAGAGATGAGATAAACGTACAATTAATTTTAAAAATACATATTTGTATTTTAGATGTTTTAATAATATGAATTAGTTAAACTTAATAATCATATTTAAGTAATGTGGTTGTATAATCATATTTAAGTAAATGGTTATCGAACTCAAACTATGGGGTGAGAAAATTAATATGAAAGTTTTACACGTGCCAATTTAAAAAAAAAAGTTAACGATGTTTGTATTTCGTTTATGCTAATTCTCTTACATGTAGTTTTTTTTAAAAATATTTAATTTATTTTTTAAAGTAAATGCCAGTAAAAGTAAATATAATTTTTAAATAGTACCTAATATAAAGCACCTAATATAAATAATTTTGATTTCTAATTTTTTATTTATATTTTCCTTCCATTACACTGCATGCTTAGAAAATTAATAAATGTTTATATTTCATGATTTTAAAATTTGTTGTTAATATAACAAATTAGTTCTGTAATTATTATTATTTAATAAACCAACGTTGCCAAAAAATTTAGAGGCTATATTATTTTTAAATAGGATCTAATATAAATAATTTTGACATCTAAATTGTTGTTTATATTTTGCTACTACTTAAAAGAAAATATTTATATTAAATGATTTTAAATTTTGTTGTTAATAGGTATAACAAATTATTACTGTTATTATTATTTATTAAACCAGTCTTTGCTAAAAAACATTAAAAATAATTTTCCTACATCCAAAATAACAAGTATTATTGCAGTGTAACAACAGAATATTAATAAAAAAAATGCAGAATATATAGACATACTATCCCTAATTAACTAAAGCCAAACAATAATATTCTTTGCTAATATCAACTAATACTAAAATATGGCAACAGCGCCTTTCATAATGTATTTTCTGTGTAAATACTAGCACCTCAATAAAAAAATAATGCGTCCTTATCTATATCTGACTCCGCAAAAAATCAAAGATGCCGGCTTCTTTCATAGCATTGCCACCGACCGCTGTCGGGTTTCTCGGAAAGAAACCTACGTCGCCGGGCGACAACTAAAATTCAGTTAATATTTTATTATAATCGATCCTGACGAATGAATGAATTTCATAAATGAATGAATTTTATAAATGAATGGTTTTTGCTGCCGAATTACTAGAATACAATATTTCAAGGCAGATGACGGATCTATTCGATCATTTTTATTCGAATAGTTTTCAACGAATGTTTTCTTACTAACTATAGAATTATTCGAATGAACTGCAACTATCGAATGTTTCGATAGTATTCATTCGATAGTTCCCACTACTAGTGGTGATCATTCAAGTTGACGTTTAGGCTATACAATTTTTTTTGACATGCAGTTTTTCTCCTCCAAAAATTTTGATTTTTTTAAAAACGTTCATAAAATTTTATAGGAAATTTACGCAATAAAAACTGGAGGTACCCATTTAAAATGAGAAAGTTGCTGTCAACTTCGGGTATTTCCGGAAGTGCCGCCATACTGAAAACACTCTTAATCGATAGATCTCAATGTGAAACAATGATATGCAAATAATATCCGACTTAGATATTGTAGTTCTCTAGAATTAAATCTTATACCTATAATTAAATCTTCAACCATTTAGGTACACTGCATAGACATAAATCTTATGCAAACAGAAACTTTATAATTTAGTTGACAGACATAGTAGGTACAAAATACATTAGGAAGTTGTAAAGCGCTCTTCTGAGTTATAATTAATTAAATCTCATCATACTTTAGAACATTGTGCTCGAACTTACTTTTCTAAGGTGAATTCACACATATCCGTGACGTCACTGTTCCGTTCCGTTAACGAGTGTCAGTTAGGGGGGAATGCCCAACAGTGAGACACATTTTTTTAAGACCGTAAAAAATATTTTATTTTTTTATCAAAATAAACTATATTAGTATACTTTAAAGGCAACCACTCTCTCCTAAACATGTTTAATTAACTAATCTCATTGAGACAAAAACATGTCTTAAAATTAACAATATTGTTATTAAAAAAAGTTACATATCAAAGTTGTGCTTTTTGTAATGGAACACCCTATATATTAATTGATTTTCGGATTCTAGGAAAAAAATAAAGGTGAGTTTTATAAGAGAAGTATATGGCTAAAATGTAATGTTTTTTATATATTTGACATTTTCTAGAAATAAAGAACAATTTTTAAATTACAATAAAAGCTACTTAAATTGGCATTTACGCGGTATACCCTGATATGTAGTTAAGTTAATTATTATATCTTAAATCAAATTAAAACTTGATCCAAAAAGTTATACAGGGTGAGACAAAATTAATATTGAACATTGGTCACCTTTAAAAGCATGTTACTTTCTTATTTTAAATGGAACACCCAGTGTATTATTCCAATATTCAATGGAGAATTCATGTCCCTTCAAATTACTATTAAGGTTGCCTACCCCTCAAACAAAGATTTCCCTAGATATTTTCATTTACATGATTTGATCTGAGTATATCTTTATTATTTGATAAAAATCTAGGTAGCTGTGATATATCTGACGTTACGTTAACATAGCTGTCTAATTATTAGTCCAACTTTAATAACTATAACTGGTGGTCAGAATGCAGTGTGCATTCACCAATTAATATAATACTTAAATGCTCCTGATTTTATCTCGTCTGTTTTTTTTATGGGGATCTGTTAAAGACAGTGTTTACAAAACTGTACCAACTAGTGTCAACAAGATGAGAGAAATTATTGTAGCTACTTTTCGAGTTAGAACTCCACATAAGCTATTAAAATGAAAAGATCCTTTCGAAAAGACAATCATTTTATGCAGTTAACAGTAAAGGAAGCATTTTGAGCATTTGATTTCATCTAGCTAATTTTTGTCGCATAATTATAGGTTTATATCTAGTTTTAATTCGGCAATAATTAAAATATGTTTTAAACGTGTATCTTTTTATTACCCTTGAGTATTTTACTCTACAATCTTTAATTTTTGTTAAATTAACAAAAGGTATATCACACAGCCACCTAGATGTTTTCAAATAATAAAGAACTACTACGCGAAACCATAAAAATTAAAATATCTAAGATAACGAATCTTTGTCTGAGGGGTGGGCAAACTTAATAAGATATATAAATTCCCCATTGAACACCGGAAAAATATACTGGATGTTCCATTTAAAATAAAGGCGTAACTTGCTTTTAAAAGTAACTAATGTTCCATATTAATTTTGTCTCACCCTGTATAACTTTTCTGGCCAAATTTGACCAGAAATTTTTCAATTTAACATACAATGGTTTCTGTAATTAAATATCCGGCTATACAAGGTCAACTAAAATTTAGGTAGCTGTTATCGAAATTTAAAATTTACTTTTCATTTTTACAAAATGTGAGATTTGTCAAAATCCTTAGATTTTAGGTATATGCTTCTTTAATAAAACTCACCTTTATTTTTTTCGTAGAATCCGAAAATCAATTAATATATAGGGTGTTCCATTAGAAAAAACAAAACTTTGATGTGTAACTTTTTTTGGGGACACCCTGTACAATTATATATTTTTATAAAAGGCTTTCAGTTAACCTACATTTGTTGCTTCCGCGGCGTATGAGAGGCGTCACCCATTAGTCTGTCATTCATCACTATTTGTTAAGAATAAATCATTAGGAAAAATCAATAGTAATGTCATCTGAGAAGTGGGGGTAACAAGTTTTCAACACTGTTGAACACATATACAAAAGGGGGCTCATGGGGCCAAGCCCCCCCCCCCCAAGAATCTACTTTAAAATAAAATGTTAACATAATGATGAACTCTTCTCTGGAGATATACTCAATCTTTTTAACTTGACAAGTCAGTAACTTTTTAGCCCGTATTATGCGAAGAAAATCAGGCTTTTAAAAAGTAACAAAAAATAAGGTAAAAAAAAGAAATAAGGTAAAAATTAAAAAGCAATAATTAAACTTACTTTTGCATGAATCTATCTCTAACTACAGTGACGATGAGCAATACATTGGCAATAACAGCAACAGGAAAGAGCACACCATACAGTCCAACAACAGCAAAATTGTTCTTTCTGAGGAAACCCTGTACGACTTCTTCTGAAAGGGTTAGGTTAGTTTGGACCATATCTTGACCATATTTCTCAAAAAATGTCGAATTCATGTTTCCTAAATTTGTTGACACCTGCAAAGAAAAATGTTATTACGGATATAAAAAAAATCGTTAAAATAGATTTATCTTCCCAAGTTGATCAAGTGTTTGCACTTAAAATAATTAATTCTTCTACACACGTACTGGGTAGTATTATAACACAAAGTTGGTGCAGTAAACCAAAATGTTTGTTAATTTGTTTTATAAAGGTTTAGCAGCAGTATTTATAATATAGGATATTCAAATAATTAGTTTTTTGACAGAAGAAAATAACATATACATACATACTGCCATTACTCGCTGACGAGTATTCGACACGCATTAAAAGATGGTCACGCAAGGCGTTTTCTTTCATGAGCTTTTCTGTGACTGAAAAGCCGGATACGTGATGCTATTTGCCTACCGCACTCCGGACATTCAAAAATCTCATTGCTTTGTTGCCTCTTTACTTCTTGGTTGTCGCTCTTAACTGAGTTTACAACTCTTCTCCATTGAGTTCTATTGTGAACTGCTTCTTCACAATGATTCTGCATGTTAATCCCCTTAACGACTGTGAGAAAACGACGGAACAATGAGAGAAATGGGACAAAACTAAGGTATTGCATAGATTGGCTTTTACCTTACTATTTTATAATTTTTTTATTTTTATAAAAAATGCCGCAGTGGATAAAGCTGTCTTAATGCCGAGAATGCCCTTTGAATAGATGCAGATATGTGTTACTTGTATTTCAAATTGTGAACAATTATAATACCCAGATTTTTGGCTTCGGTAACAACATCAAGATTGACATTATCAATCTTAAATTTAGCTAATTGGCAAACATCATGATAGCAATTTTTACTTGAAAATATGACAACTTGTGTTTTAGTTGGATTCAACTGTAATTCATATTTTAGAGACTGTGCATATATATGTTGTAAATCTTCATTGATCATATTAATGGCAAAATTTAAAGAATTCCTATTAAAAGAGGCATACACCTGAGTGTCATCGGCGTACGTATGTATCTTACAAAACTTAACATCGTTGTGAATTAGAGAGATATATATATATACAAAAAAGCAGAGGTTCAAGGATTGAACCCTGAGGAACTCCACGTACTAACTTTATTGGACTAGATGTTTTATTTTCCAGTTTGACTATTTGTTGCCTGTCAGTAAAATAGCTTTTCAATAAATTCAATGCACTACCTGAAAACCCATAATAATGTAGCACTGACCGCAAAATCTGAGGATTTAGACAGTCAAACGCTTTGCTATAATCCAACAATACTAAGACTGATATTTCGCCGTTGTCAAGCGCATACAATATGTCATCAGTTACTTTAAGTAAAGTCGTGGCACAACTATGTCCCGTCCGAAACCCAGACTGGTGTACAGGCAAGATATTTTTTTCAGCAACATAACTTTTAATTTGGTTATTAAGAACATGCTCTAGTATTTTTGACATAAGGGGCAGTATACTTATTGGTCGTAGATCTTTAAATTCTAGTACATCTGACTTTTTGGGAATAGGCTTAACAATGCCTATCTTCCACAATCTTTGGAAATATTCAGTAAGTAAACAACTATTAATTATATTCACCAGTACATTCCCCATCAGTGGAAAGCACATCCCAAGCATATTCAAGCTTATGTCATCCACACCAGCAGCATTAGACTTAATTTAAGTATATCATCCACATTAATTAACGAAAACTGAAATTTTAATTTTTGTGTAATGCAAACATAGTGCCATCACATTGATCAGTTTGAACGGCTTACGGCACACACTTAACAAAATAATCATTAATTTTATTTACATCCCTCAAATGAAGTGGTAGGTCTGCAGATGTCTTTGACTTACCGATGTTGAGATAATTTAACTCCCTCCAAAGCATTTTAGGATTTTGTTGTTTAGATATATTATCAAAATACCTCCTCTTTTCTATTTTGACCATGCGAGTTACCATGTTCTTTAACTGTTTATATTGCTGCAATAATTCAGGTGTTTTCTGATTTTTAAATTTATTTTCAAGTTTATCCCGAGAAGATATTAGATATTTAAAATTTTCGGACATCCATGGAGCAGGTGGCTTAGTTAATCTGATGGTTTTATATGGTGCATGTGTGTCAAATATTGATATTAATGCATTATTTAGGTACTCTTTGATCTGAAATCTCACAATTTATAACACCAGAATCATGCACAGTACTTAAAGAAATTGTCAGGATCAAATCAATTAAAGTTGCAGTAGTATCTGAAACTAGTGAAATGGACTCTTAATGTCAAGGAAAGGTATAAAATATATTACATAAAAAATGGTCGCAGTGATTAACCTCCCCTCCTCTCCAACTTATCCTACATTCCTACAAGACTGACAGGTAAAACGTTACGTGTAGAGGGATCTTTAAATCTAAAAAAGTTGCAATCCCTGAATAAAACGAGAAATTAGGATCTTTGTGTAAAATCTCCTCGAAATTTCTATTATTCGTTACTACAATCAGGCAAAACGTTTCTTATAATACAAAAAAGAAACTAATTGAAAGGGGAATATAGGTACAAAGGACGCGGTTATTTTTCTTATTACAGACAGGATGCCAAAAAAATGTATATAGAAAAAAACAGACGAGCTCTCTTACACAAAGTTTTCTTTAAATTTTATGCTTCAGATGTCTCGTAATAATTTCCTTCGCTCAAATTCACTCAAAACGGCTGGAAAATGAGTTTCCTTTGTCCATTAAATAGATACTTTGTTTTGTTGACTAGAAAAAAATTGCTTTATGAAAACTCCTGTTCTATTAAATAAGAAGAGACGAAAAGCAGCTTTTTTTTACTTACTAGACCTTTAAAATGGTTATTTTTTATACATGACGATAAAATGGTATTTTCATTTAATTCACGAGCGATAAAATCGCGAGTTTTCGGGAGACGATAATGCAATTTTATCGTCGTGTATAAAACAATATTTTTTTCCGAGTTTTTAGCGAGTTAAGCTCCATACTCACACTTCGCTACTTCACTTCGTTCCTTCCTCGCGTCCCTTCATCCAAAAATCATATATTTACTATGGGAAATTGTCGATTTATGCGACTGTGTTCTTTCGTTCCTTCGTTCCTTCGTTCCTTCGTTCCTTCGTTCCTTCGTTCCTTCGTTCCTTCGTTCCTTCGTTCCTTCGTTCCTTCGTTCCTTCGTTCCTTCGTTCCTTCGTTCCTTCGTTCCTTCGTTCCTTCGTTCCTTCGTTCCTTCGTTCCTTCGTTCCTTCGTTCCTTCGTTCCTTCGTTCCTTCGTTCCTTCGTTCCTTCGTTAAAACGCTCCTTCGTTCGTTTACTTCCTCGAAACGATCCTTCCCCGTACTGTCGGTTTTTGGAGGAAGTAGCAAAGGAATTATCACGAACACAAAAAATATTAAAATATATAAAATATATAAATCGATCTTGGATTTCATTCGTAGTTGATTTCTTGATTTGGCAGTACGTCTGTACAGGGTGTCCCATTTTCGTGTGTTTTGCAGGGTTTCTCGTTTATGAGTCGAGCTACAAAGATGCGGTTTTCACATTACGATGTTACTTTTTTATGAAACTAAAGATGCTACATACAGATATGTCCCAGCTCTCTTACTTTCTAATATACAGGGCAAATCTGAAATTATTGCGTTTTTTGATTCCCTTTGTATCTCGATTATCTTATAACTTATCGATAAGGTGAAAACGGTGCCCTGTACAGTTTTTCACGTAGAATGCAGTGACGTAACTAGTTCTTCGTTAGAATCTGTAGATATTTTGCGATATTTTGTATATTATTTTATTTTCCTTGTTGTTGGCTTTCTAAAATACTTACATATTTTCATAAACGGGGTAAAAATGCATTATTTAACTTTATTACATAGTCGGCCGGTTTAAATTAGGTAATCAAAACAATCAACTAATTTCTTCGACGTAAAATGTAGGTTATTGGCTATTCCACGCTAATTTTTATGTATAGTTATAATATAACTCTAAAATAAGAGCCGTTTAGCAGTTTAGCAGTACCTAAATAAATAAGTATACCTAGAGTATACATATTATAATTTTAGAAAGCTCATAACAAGGCAAATAAAATAAAAAATATTATATAGAGTGTCCTGTTTAAAAAAAAGAACATAAGTTTGAGTCATTTTTCGAAATAGACAGCTCCCAACGAAGAACTAGTTTCGTCACTGCATTCTACCTGAAAAACGAGATACGGGCGGTGGGTAAGTACTCAATAGGTAGAAAAAAACAAAATAGGTTATCCGGTATATACCTGTACATTTAGATGAACAGTCTAATTTTATAAAAGGTATTTCCAACGACCGCATAGTAAATATCCGGTATAATACCAGAAATATACAAGTAATATCAGGAATATACCTACAATATTCCTAATATATATTGGTATATTCCTGTTCCCGGTATTATACCTGGTATTTACTATGCGGTCGTCGGAAATTCCTTTTATAAAATTAGAATGTTCATCTAAATGTACAGGTATATACATATATGTGTGAAGGGCTTTACGTTTTAAAAAATATTCAGAAATTATTATTTCAAGGAATTTATTACGAGTAGAAAAAATATTGTGCAGGGTTGGCGTTGGTTTCTATGTAATTTGACAAATAAATAAAGCTGTCTCTTTAGTTGTCAGTTTTGAATCAATATTTTTTAATTCTCTTTCGTGTCGATTGCTGTTTGAATTGGAGCCAGAAATGGCTCAAAACGAAATAAGTAAATTACCAACAGATATTGAGGCTGAGGCGACAAACGCCATATTTAAACTACTTCCATTTAAATCCCGAATAACTTATGAAAAGGAATAGAAAAATTTTCAAAAATGGAAGCAATTAAAAAACGTGCGAGAAGAAATAAGGTTTTTAACCTATCCTCGCTGTTAAAGTATCATTTAATCTACCCTTGCGCTTAAAGTAGTATTTTATCTACTATTTTTGATAGATATAAGGCAATTTTAACAGTTGCTATGGAAAAAACTTAATAAAATATAATATTTAGAAGACGTTTAGTGTAAAACACAATTA